CCATTTATGAACGGTATTTTGTTTTTTGCTCTTATTTTTAGTCCTTGTATGTTAGCATAGATGAATGAGGTTACTCTATTTGAGGTAGTTTGAGTGGGAGACTTTTCTGGCAGGTCCATTATGTGTGGGCATATCGAGTTTGTTCTGACCAGTGCTGATTGTTGTAGGGTTGCTGCCTGTCATAGTTGTAGCTCTGTTGTGTACTCACCTAGTTGTACTCACCTAGTTGTGTTTGCGGGGGTTGAGCTCTGGCTCTTTGGTCCCGCCTCTCAACCGTCAATCAACAAGTGTACAGATTCATGAGCCTATCGGGCTCTGTCATATCTACACTTGAAACTGTGTATGGAGTCAGCCTCCACCACATCACTTCCTAATGCATTCCATTTGTCAACCACTCTGACACTAAAAAAGTTCTTTCTAATATCTCTGTGGCTCATTTGGGCACTCAGTTTCCACCTGTGTCCCCTTGTGCGTGTTCCCCTTGTGTTAAATAGACTGTCTTTATCTACCCTATCAATCCCCTTCAGAATCTTGAATGTGGTGATCATGTCCCCCCTAACTCTTCTGTCTTCCAGCGAAGTGAGGTTTAATTCCCGTAGTCTCTCCTCGTAGCTCATACCTCTCAGCTCGGGTACTAGTCTGGTGGCAAACCTTTGAACCTTTTCCAGTTTAGTCTTATCCTTGACTAGATATGGACTCCATGCTGGGGCTGCATACTCCAGGATTGGCCTGACATATGTGGTATACAAAGTTCTGAATGATTCTTTACACAAGTTTCTGAATGCCGTTCGTATGTTGGCCAGCCTGGCATATGCCGCTGATGTTATCCGCTTGATATGTGCTGCAGGAGACAGGTCTGGCGTGATATCAACCCCCAAGTCTTTTTCCTTCTCTGACTCCTGAAGAATTTCCTCTCCCAGATGATACCTTGTATCTGGCCTCCTGCTCCCTACACCTATCTTCATTACATTACATTTGGTTGGGTTAAACTCTAACCCAACTCTGTGTGTAATTGTATCTGTGCTTCTGGTATGCAAGTGGGTTTATTTTATATATATGTATATAAAAGAAAAGAAAGAAAACATTTGTGTGCGCATAATTGTGACACATATATTAGTGTGTATTGAATGTATGCAAGTTGTATTATACAACATCGTGATAATATATTGAACAATATCAGTAAAAAAAAGTTGTGGCAAAATACACCTAGACACTGTAAATAATGCTGCGAAAATAAATTCGCTGCAACTCTGGCTGCATGAATGCCGCGAGTGACACCGCTGGGAAGCACACTGCTTGAGTAAGCTCTTGCTGTGACGTCATAATCAAATTTCTCAGCTTATTCACGCCATTGGTAAGTAAAATTAATTCCCCCCCCCCATGATCAGGGAACACATTTGAACACTTTTACAAGATGAAATAAAAAAAATTTCTTGGGCCTGGCCGTGTTGTAGGTTATAATCGCAAGTGCTGCCTAGGGGTTAATGATCAATCACCTTTGTTATGTAATTTCCCCCGCATAGCAGAAGAATTACGCACAATATGTACATGCTACAATACCTCTACAGCAAAACCAGACCTCCACCTCCAGCCAAACGATTGGAGAGCTCCACCACGGACCCCCTACCCTGCCCTGAAAGCCAATGCCAGGTGTGCACTGCTGACCTGTTCAGCAATCGCTAACTATCCATTACTTCGCCAGCTTATCATTACACCTCACCCTGCCACCAGCCGTGATATCACCTGCAGGCATATACAAGCTCCTGCCTGTGACCTAGCCAGCAGATTACTCCTGGTGCTCTCTCGGGTTCTACACTTCTCCTTCACTCGATGTGGTCCTGCTATGACGCGTGATGGTGGACGTGTGGCCTAGTGTACATAGTGTAGTCACTCTTATTATTTTTGCAAGTAAAGATTAAGTTATTTTCATGTGTATCAGCCAAGTTTGTCTCAGGAATTATTTTGTGGTTATGACTGCTATTATATGTAAAGTATTGAATTGTTAATGCTATTTGTTTACTCCTGCAACTTTCACACCGCAAAGGTCTTTAGCAGATTTATTTACGTTTTTATTTTTTATTTTACTTAATGTGCGTGAGAGCCTGAGCCTTTGTCATCCACCAGGTATTAGCTGCACTACCTAAGCACGTCACACCTTCAATATACTGCAAATGTTGTTAACAGCCTAATTCTCAAATGTGTTTATAAATCACTTGTACACACACACGACACGTCACCTGTCGCTCTCACTAGTGACAGGTCAAGGAAGGTTAACCCTTAAAGTGCGCATCACGTCATATGACGTGTTGGAAGTTGTTCCAGTCAACTGCGCATCACGTCATATGACGTGTTGGAGTACTACGCAAGATTTAAACGGCCCGCGGATACACGGGGTTCACCACACCATCAGGGCTCTTGTAAACAGACTCCATTTTTTAAAAAAATCGTGGGCCAAACTCCCGGGTGTTAGGGGCCTCGGTATTGAGTGAGCTACCAAGCCAGACGCACGCAGCACGAGCTAACAGCACTGCTGTTCAGCTTGTGACCACAGCATCACCTAAAAATGCCATAATATACTTGTTCATGCTATTATGTAGCAATGATATTATTACAGAAGACCCCTGACTGTGATAAAACTGACCAGGGTTCTGATAATAGCAGGATTGTGGTGATATTTAGCGCTGTGCGCCATGGAGGGAGGAGTAATGCTGTGGGAGGGAGGGTGGTGGCGATGTCTTCTGACTGTGTGTGGCCACCTTTTATTGACTGCACTCACCATACCAGCTTAGTGGTTTGCTATGGTGAACACAAATGTAGATACTTATATATAACGTGTGTATAGAGGGTATAAACAGCAAGAGGAGAAGGTTGGGAGCCGCCATTTTGGTGAGGTCGGTGGCGTCGTCTGCACGACGCCACCGTGCAGACGACGGTGTTGTTTACTTGTTACCATGATGGTCTTTGGGCACCATACCAGTTTACTTGTACAAGTATGGTGAATAAAACACGTAGATATTTATATATAATGTGTGTATATAGCTTAATAACACCACAAACAGTATTGTTGGAGGAGAAATATTAGTGCGTCTGGCCTTGAGGGCGGCAGCCATCAGCTGACTGTGCGAGGTCCTACGTCTTTGTGCCTTTACTCACCATACAAGCTTAGATGTACAGTTATGGTGAACAAAACATGTAAATACTTGTATATAACATCTGTATATAAAAGCAAAAACAGTATGGTGGGTGGAGAATGGTGGCAAGTCAGGTGAGGTGAGGGAGGGAGGGAGTGGCAGCCAGTGGCGGGCTGCCACTGCCTGTCACTGCCACTCAGCATACTAACTTAGTGGCTCGTTATGGTGAACACGAATGTAGATACTTATATATAGCGTCTGTATATAGTGAATAAAAGCAAAAACAGTATTGTGGGAGGAGAATGTGGGTGAGTCAGATGACTTGAGGGAGGGTGTGAGTGGCTGGCTGGTGTGTGGCGGTCACTCCTCGTTGCTTTTTGACTCATAATAGCTACTTAGTGGTTCGTTATGGTGAAAAAAACATGCAGATACTTATATATAACCTGTGTATATAGTGTAATAACCGACAAAGTATTTGTTCACTGATTGATGAACATAATTGAATCAACAATATGCACACCATATTTTTGAGTACAGCGATGATTCACTCATTTTATTATATAAATATATCAAACTACACACTATTGAATAATATTACAGCAAAAAAGCTATGAAAAATCAATCAGAGACAATGAAATAATTAGGTAATTATCTCTTTGTGGCAACTCCGGCCTGACAGCTGGCGATCAACAGACCGCCTGGGACGCACGCCGAGTCAGCGCCTGTTTTTTGCCAGACTTCCCCGCCCTATAGCGGGCAATATATGCCACTTACGATTTTTTTATTATTTTTCCCGTGATCAGTGAACACAAATTAACAAGTTAGGAAGTAATTTTTTTTTTTTTTTTCAAAATTACATGCGCCTGTGGGGAACAAAGGATATTATACCCCTAGCATGTTAAGGGTTAAGTGCTGTCACTACTGACAGATTAACTCCCCCCCCCTCCCCGCCCTACACAATCCCTTTGGACTTTTGACACAGAGGTCTCGTTGCGAGCCACTCTGATAAATCCGAGATTGGGTAATTCACTAATTACCAAATAATGTGTACAATTACAAGAACCCGGGGATGTACTTAAATACATTTTTGCACCCCTGACACAATCATATACACAGCTGCTGCTGGAGATGATGAGCGATGTGGCTGGTAGACTGAAAAATTATAGCGAGGGGACCCAATACTTGTAGCAGCAAGATTGAATAGGGTCCACCCTTCAGCTATCCACTGATTGATGTTAAATACAGGTGTTAGGTGATGCACAAATTGCGAACTTGATCGAGCATTCAGACTCGACCCTCAGAGCTCCAGCTTTATCGGACCAATCTCTCACAGTTTATTTACCGAGGTATAATTGAACCTCTCCTTGACCACACAACTAGTATGTCGGAGTACCCCTGTTACCGTATCCCGTTTTCTGTTTGTTAGAGGCGAGAGACACTGCTCCGTGCTCACTGCCATCCTGGCTTCTGGTAGGTCAGCATGGGTCTCAGAAGCCTGGAGAGATTCCTAAAATTTGGCTTTACCAGTGAATGGGCCTTCCCAGAAATATAGAAGCTAATGCAGTAATAACAAAGAAAGGTGAGCAACTGTGTTGTAGTTTCCCTTAGCCAAAGGTAACGCTGACTGTACAGTCATCCATTTATTGCTGGACACACCCTGTGATGCTTAGCCTGATTGACTCACATACACTTCAATAATGTAATATAATTTTAGCTCTCCAGTCTTTAAGGTTTCGTAGCTACAATACTGTATTTAAATGATTTGGCAGATTGTATTCCAGGGAAAATTATTCCTTCATAATTTCCAGACTGAATAGTTGAACATAATACTAAATAGATGAAAACATAGATGTTCTACATCTAACATACCTGCTCAGCTGCCTTTGGTTCCCGACTGAGAATTGCTTGTGCTGCCTTGTTGTTCTTTCGTGACATAGCAGCAGCAAATGGAGTTATTCCTGATTTATCCCTTAATGTTAAATCCAAGGCATGGTGGGACAGAAGCAGCGAGATGATTGTTGTGTGAGAGTTTTCTATGGCATGGTGCAAAGGTGTTTTGTTCTCAGCATCCTGGAAAATAAAAGATACATGTTCCTATAGTATCAATTATGATTTACTAAAATGAAAGAAAGTACAACTAAGGTTCAGAAATTGTGCCAATGCTAAATTGGCAATTAAGACCAGAAGGGGAGGAATAAGCTATTTCATAGTAAAAAAAAACCAGCGTTGAATGTAATGAAACGCCACTTTCTGGGCAAGACCTGGAGGCTCCCAGGAGCTATACCGGGCTGATGTGTATACAATAGACCATGGCAACAGTCAATCGATGGAGTTCTAGCCTACTGGGGACCATGAGTCAGAACCTAGCCCCCCTCAGAGAGGCACAAGGAGCAATGGCCTATAGACACCCCCATGTAACTGAAAGCAGTCTATGTCTGCCATCTACCAGGTCAGGCACCCAGATAGGTAGAAATCCCAAAACAAACTACAGCTGTTTAAAATTGCAAAACGTTCAAAAGCTAAATGAGCAAGCAGAACTCCCCAATCAGAAAACAAGCAAATAAACATGACATCACCACAGCCGCTGTCTACACAGCTCCCACCTCCACAGGAGTGGGAAAGGGGGACACCATACCTGCCGTGCCGGCTACCCAACCCCAGTTCAGAGGCTGAATATCAAAAATGCGAAAAACCGGCGATCGGAGGTAGGGAGGGATGCCAGGGAGTCTCTGGGCCTCACCCAGAAAATGGCATTTCATTACATTCAAGGCTGGTCTTCTGTGGAGAGCCCCTTTGGTTCCCCGGCATTATCTACCCAAAGATAAAGTAAAAGAGGGATTCGCCCAAGAGGCAGCCGCCAGCCAACGGTCCTGAATCAACCAAGAGAGGAAAGACAAAACAACCCGATCAGAAATTGAAGACAACCTATGAAGAGACAAAAAGTGCCGAAAGGACCGCCAAGAAACTTAATAGTGCCACTGAAATGAAACCTGCAGGTGGGACACCATGAATAAAGCCACCTGATTACTATACAAGCGGTGATAAACCCGCGTCAAAGAGACCAGATGCGAAGAGTGGAGAAGATCAAACTAGCCAAGTACCGGACCGGAATGATCTGCGGGAAGACCCATGGGGTCTGAGACTGAGGAAGCAGCGTCTGAAACCAAGGCTGGGCTGGCCACCAAGGGGCCACAAGGACTACTCTTCCCTAGTAAGTCTCCAAGCGAGTCATGACTTGGAGCAACAACCGAACTGGGGGGGAAGAGGTACAGGTAACCCCATCTTGACCAGTCCAGCTGAAAGGCATCGAACCCGACAGCCTTGCAGCTGGGGAAGGGTGCCACATATTGGAAGACGCCTCCACCAGGCCGACACGAAGAGGTCCAACTCTGGGTGCCCGAACCTGTGGCAGAGTTAACAGAGAGTCGGCGTCGACAGTCCATTCCATGGACAGGCGAATGAACCGGAACAGGCCGTCTGCCAGAGGTTGGATACCCTTGAATATTAACCACCAGGAGAGCCAAACCCTGAGAACTCAGCAGACGAGTCACCCGAAGCGACCAGCCCCAAAGAGACAAGGACTACATCGAACCCCCGCGGTTCAGACAATGAACCACTGGGAAGCAGTCCAAATGGAGCCAGATTATCGATCCACGAGCAACACGAACCCTCTGAAGCGAAAGCCACACTGCCGCGAACTCCCCCTCCATGTTGTGAGCCCAAAGGAAGGATGGACCCCACCGATCCTGGCCGGCCTGGTCAGCACTGGTCACAAAACCCCAGCCAAGAGACGACGCATCCGTGAACATATTGAGCGAGGGCTCGGGTAGGTGCCATGGCACTGAACCCCGAAAAACCTGTAGGGAAAGCCAGTGACGCAAAGCCCCCGGGGTCTGAACCCAACAATTGCGAGAGCGGCAGAAGTGACATCCTGAAAGGAACCAGAACATCCGCCAAAGCCAGATCCGACCCGACAGGTAGACCAGCATGGCGAAGAATCAGAAAAACTGTTTTTCTGCACAGCCGCTTGAACAACCGACAAGTGACTCCCAAAAACAGCCGAAGGTAGGACCACAGCTGCAGCAACGCCGCAGGAGGGAGAGACAAGGAAGTGGTCCGAGAGTTCCACACAAGACCCAGTCAATTCCGAACCTGAGAAGGAACCAAATGGGACTTCAAGTTCACCAAGAATCCGAACCCGACGAACTGAGAAAGAACCAAATCCCTGGCAAGCAGACACGCGGACGACTGGAATACTAGACCAACCAGTCGTTGAGGTAAGCCAGAACCTGAACCCCTAACAGTAGCAAATAGGTCACCACAACCCAGGTAAGGTGTGTAAAAATGAGAGGTGCCAGATTCAAGCCAAATGGAAGGAAACGACAGCTGTAAGCTTGCTGTCTCAACAAAACTCGGTAACTACCGGCCCTATCGGCGACAAATTGTGCCATATCTCGAACGCTCGTTTGAGTAACGTCAACACCACATGGTGGGGTCGCGCTGCTTCTTGCACATTCTTGGACGCCTCCGACAATGCAAATAAATTATGTTGTTCTTGTTTAAAGATGCTAATGATGCTGGGATATAAAGGGGTGACTGCTAAGATGTTGCAAAGCATTGACGTTTTTGTAGAAAAAAGAAATGAAATTTCTGAAATACAACAAATGTCAAAAAAGTTTGTTCGGTGTTTGGCTGGTAGGCTGCTCCATTATAACAATCTTTCTTTGATTGAAATGTGTTCCATTTGTTTTGTATTTGTCATTTACATCTCAATAATGGAGCAGCCTACCATACATACACTGCACAAACCTTTATGACATTTTTCTTTCTTCAGATTTGTTCAATACAGTATTTATTTTTCATGTGTCTTATAGCAAAAGGTTCGTTTGGTGGTCGGCAGGTAGGCTGTTCCATGTTTCTTACAAAAAAAAAAATAAAGAATTTTTAAAACCAGAACAAATGTCAAATAGGTTCGTTCAGTTGTCTACAGGTAGGCTGCTCCCTATTTCTTTATAAAAAAAAAAAAAAAAAAAAACACGAAAAATAAAAAAAAAAGTTGAAACGATTTGAAAAATGGACAAATACCATAAAGGTTCGATCAGTGTTTGTTGGGTAGGCTGCTCCATTATTGAGATGTAAATGAAAAATACAAAACATATGGAACACATTTGAAACAAAGAAAGATTGTTATAATGGAGCAGTCTACCCATCAAACACTGAACGAACCTTTATGGCATCCGTCCATTTTCCAAATTGTTTCAACTAATTTTTTATTTTTTTTTTTTTTTTTTTTTTTTTTAAGAAACATAGAGCAGCCTACGTGCCGACCACCGAACGAACCTTTTGCTTTAAGACAAATGAAAAATAAATATTGAACAAATTTGAAGAAAGAAAAATGTCATAAAGGTTTGTGCAGTGTATGTTAGGTAGGCTGCTCCATTATTTAAAACATCGAATATCATATTGATGTTTTTCGGTGGTAGAACGGATTAATATGAATACCATTAATGTCAATGGGAACATTCGTTTTGTATGACGTCCATTTCACATGCAGACGATGGCGCCGGAACGGATTAAATTCGTTATTCGAGGTACCACTGTATATCACACTACACACTATTGAATAATATTACTGCAAATTTTTTTTTTTTTTTTTTTTAGGAAAAATCAATCAGAGACATTGAAATAATTAGGTAATAATATTTTTGAGGCAACTCCCGCCTGACAGCTTGGGCAGAGCTGACCGCCTCCGGTGCTTGCTCTGTCAATGTCTTTTTTTTTTTGGCTAGACTTCCCCGTCCTGTTGCGGCCAAAATATGCCACCTACGATTTGTTTACAATTTTTTTCCCGTGACTAGGGAACACAAATGAACACCTTTATAAGACAAAATAATATTTTTTTTTGTGACTGTGGGTGTTGAAGGCTAAATACCCTAGAGCAGCTTAGGGGTTAATACCGTACCGATCATCTATACGTGCCTGTAGGGGTGGGGAGTATTTCTAGGAGGGGTAGGGTGTAGTGGGGATAGGGAAGCTGAGGGAATGTGGTGTGACTACAGCCAGTCTGTGATAGTCCGCATGCCAGTCAAACCCAACCCACTTGCAGGAACCCAACTAAGCTCGCCAACTTGCCCGAACCCACCCCAAGCCCACCTATTTCCGCAAACCCACCCACCCATGCCCGAATACCTGCCCATACCCACCCAAGAAACAAAAGACTGCCCCCCTCTGAACCCACCCACCCAAAAGCCCCATCCCACCCACCCAACCACCTAGCCTGCCCACCAACCCACCTAGCCTGCCCATCCATTAACTTACCCACCCAGACTGCCTGCCTGCCTGCCAGCCAGCCATCAATCCATCCATCCACATTGTCCGCCCAGCCAGCCATCCTCTCTGCTCATGCGCCTACTCACTCTGCCTTCCTTCCAGCTGGCCCCAATCCATCCACCTACTTACCCACCCATTCACCCTGCCAAGCCAGCCCAGCCAGTGGCTGGGCTGGCTTTTATAAAATCTAAAGAGATTTGTTACACAGGATCTTCCTGTTTGAAAAACCATAGTGTGTCTGTTATTATGTCAATACTCTCTAGGTGTTCAACCCAATTTGACTTTAACTATTTTTTCTTGTGTTTTGATTACCACACTTGTTAATGATATGGGCCTATAATTTAGAGGTTTCTCTCGACAACCATTTTCATAGATTGGTACTATGCTTGCCTTATTCCATATATCTGCTTAGATTCTTGTGCACAAGGATGTCTAATATTAATTGGAGTGGAATGCTCAGTTCAGTTGCACATTCTCGCAGCACACAAGGTGAAACCCCATCAGGTCCAACCACTTTATTTCTTCCTAGCCCCCCATGAGTAATTTTTCCAGTTCGTTAGGCAGTTTTGAGGCTTTGGTCTCTTTGAACCAAGCAGTTGTCTGTATTGGTTTGCTGATTTTCTGGATGGTTTCCCAGTGGGGTGGGAGTGTGTCACCTGCTCTGTGCCTCTGTGAGGAGAGGGGGGGAATAGAAAGAGATTCTGGATGTGGTCCCCTGGTAGGTAGGCCAAACTTAATTCCACAGCTGATGTGAACTAGTAATTGGGAGCCATCTCAGTGAGATAGCTTCAGGAAACCACATGGGGCTCCTCCCAGAAAGGACCAAGATCACTTAGAACTCAAGATGAAGTACTGTATCAAAAGAATTAACTCCCAAAGACAAACCATAAGCTATGCACTTCTTTGAGGCCTCAACACACAGATTAAAGCACCAAGGTAAATATCCTCCTCCTCTCACAGATGACAATGCAGGTTAATAAGAATTAAATTTTCAATTGCAATGACACACACATTTCATGGCCAAAATATTTGGGAATGCTGATCTACTGCTTACCCTTGCATTAACCTTGGCACCATGTTCAAGTAAGGTCTGGACAGTATCTTTAAATCCCCAGGAACAACATAGGTGTAGTGGAGTTTGCTGGTCAGTAGCCTCTTCCCCTCCAGTGCCGCCAGGTCCTGGTTTACGTACTGCATTAACATCACAGCCACTTCTAATGAGGAAACAAGCAATGTCTTCCCGATTTTCATCTGAAAAAATTTAAGAAACTAATACGAACTGCACAATGCAGATTATCAAGATTAGTAATTTAATAAATTTTAATGCATAATATGTAGAGAAAAAATCAAATAAGGTGGCCTGTTCTTGTGAGCCTTCAGTAGCTGTCTATAGCTTATGCACAGGTATAGCCAAGACTTTGAATCGCACCAGGCCTCTTAAACACATGCTGATCTACCAGTAGCCAGGACCAGAATCTCGTCATCTTTCAACGAGGTGAGGGGAACACCTCATCAGAAAAGTAGCTGAAACCAAGCAAGTAACTTCCAAAAGATAAAGCATAGCAGTTGATCTTTGCTGGTGGCAACCAACAGTATCCTTGATGCACTCAACTGCTACGAGCAATTGAGTGCATCCCAGGCTCCCAGTCAGTCTGCTTGTCTGCTAGCAAGGGATCTTGTTGTTTCCCAGCTTGCCGGGTTCGGGTTCCCAGTGAACTGGAAGAATTTCCAGTTGGTTCCATCCCAGGTTCAGACCTGGTTGGGGTTGCTTTGGGATTCTCGGTCAGTGTTGCTTTCCCTCCCTTCTGCAGCCTTGTTAGCTGCAGTCACGCCATCTGCTATATGTGAGGGGACTTGGGTTACTCGGCAGTTGCTCAGCCAGTTGTCTGAACTTTGCACTTCCCTCAATCAATGTGTTCACCGACGCCTCGGCGGTCGGTTGGGGCTTTGTGACCAGTGTTCACTGTAATGACTGGTATATAAAGTTTAGCTTTTGTTGTTATTAATGCAAATGTTTCTCTTAGTTAAAATACCAGTTTGTTTTATTTGTGTTTGAGAGTATGTATTAGTGAATCAGTATGATTCTGTGTAAAGTTTTCCCGCATGTTTTCATGAGAGGAGTGTCCCTGCACTCCACGAGAAATTATTCCTAGTCAGTGTATTATCCCTTTTCCTGTGTTTAAATAAATGTAATGCACACACTTTGGTTGTTTCTCGAGTCTCGCCAATGCAAAAATATGGTACCGGTGCCACATGGTCATTCTTGTGTTTGAAGTGTTTATAAATGCAGATTGGTTCTACATCGCTGGTTTAAAGTACATAGCTATATTATAAGCAAATAAGGACGTGTTTTGTGAATTCGTACTCTAGGGTATGGCTTACCAGCTCGTGCCCTTACATCACCAGTTTGGCCAGGGTCGTTGGCGGTCGCTTTGTCGGGCTCACTGCACGGTGCAGGAGTTTGCAGCTGTATTCACCTAGTTGTGCTTGCGGGAGTTGAGCTCTGCTCTTTCGGCCCGCCTCTCAACTGTCAATCAACCAACTGTTCCTAACTACTATTTTTTTTTCTCCCACACACCCCAGGAAGCAGCCCGTAACAGTTGTCAGGTACCTATTTACTGCTAGGTAACAGGAACATCAGGATGAAAGAAACTCTGCCCATTTGTTTCTGCCGGCCCCGGGAATCGAACCCCGGTCCACATGACTACATATCAAGCGTGCTGTCCACACAGCCACCGGCCCTAACACCTAACTCCTGTGTGGCAGGAGCTGTAGAAAGTTCACATTCTTCCAGGCTTTGTGATCTGGCTTCATTTGGATTGTTCCCCCGTGCTTCGGGAGAACAACTTAGGTAGCTCATCTGCTGAGTTCTTGGTTTACATGTTCGCACCATTCATGTTCAGGGTTTGTCCAATGTCTTGGCCAATGGTCTATCTTGCTGCCTTCCTCTTTCCACCGTTTGGACCGTCAATGCCGAGTCCTTCCTCTGGCTTTGCCAGACGTTCAGGCACCTGGATGTCGACTTCTTTGCGACAGAATTGTCTCGGCATCTGCTTCTTTATGCGGCGCTGTTTCCCGACTTTGAGGCCCTCGCGGTGGATGCCATTCGGCTGGACTGGTAGAGATGGCAGTGCCTTTTCCCTTTTTTTCCCGGTTTAGGCATTGCTCTGTGTGGTGGTGCGCCTGGAGTCTTACAGAAAAAAAATTGCTGCTTCTGGACCCTTGGTGTTCAGCCCAGCCTTGGTTTCAGGCATTGCTTGCTCGGTGTCCAAACCCAGGCGTTGTTCCTTGGCTCCGCCTCTCTCAGAGGGTTAGGCGGGTAACGTACTTTACAGGTTCTATCTTCTCTTCTACTTTTTGCGTCTGGTCTTTTTGATGCATCATTATCGCCATTTCTATGGTGATCAGGTGACTGCTTTTAAGGTGTCTTACCTATGATGGTCTTCTCATCAGCAGTACGATGTTTCTAGGTGGTCTTTTCATCATTATTCTGTCCCTCTGTCATCGTCATTTTGTTTCGGACCGGGTTGTTTTATCTTTTCTTGACTTTTTATTGATAGGCATCTTATGCCTAATGCTGTCGCATTAGGCATAAGATGCTTATGCCATTAGGCATAAGACGCCTCTTATCGTGAGGCGTTGGCAAAGCCGCTTCTGCTTTTATTCAGGGTGGATGTAACTTGGTCCCATATTGAGAGCTTTCTCATGCTTTGTTTCATCTCGGGCCTGCTCATGTGCCGCCTGAAACTACCTGGTCTTTGGATCGGGTTCTTTCTTTTCTTTTTTCACCTAGATTTACTGTGGCCTCTTCGGTTTGGGGTTGTTTTTGGTAGGCTTTGTTTTTGTTTCCTTGGCTTCCAGTTGTTGGGTGGTTAAGCTTCGTACGCTGACGCTGTGGCTTTTGTGCCTTGGTCCTGGTGGTGATTTTGTTTGCAGCCTACTCCTTTTCTGGCAAAGATTATGATGGCAGGCTTTCATAGGAGTCCTTTAGTTGTGGAGGCTTGGTTCTATTGGCTGGGGGTGTTTCATGCACTTTGTCCAGTGGTGGGTTTGCACTGCTGACTTTGAGCCACCGGTTTGGTTTCAGTGGCCTTGTGTTTCAGGTTATCTGCAGTGTCATTACAGCTAGCCAGCCTGCGGTCTACCCATCATGCTCATGATGTTCATCAGCATTTCGCCATGTCGGCTGTTTTTGGACATATGTCTTGGGCCGATGTTCAGGCAAGGGGGTTTTGGAGATCTACCAGGGTCTCCTGGTCCTCTGTGGCCTTGTATGCACTGGGGCATCTAACGCGGCTTTCGGTTTCAACCAAGTTGATACCTGTGGTGCTCCTGCCTCCCTAGTTAGTTTCCCATATTTGTCCTTCTCAGTAAGTAGCTAACTTCAGGGAACCAATGGGGCTCTTTACAGAAAATCTGCATTAAATGTAATGAAACACCAGTTTCTGGGTGAGCCCTGGAGGCTCCCTGAAGCTATCATCACTGATTAAGTGCCATACTACCAAGCATCATCAGTTACATCATCAGAGTTCATTTTGCATACTGGGAGACCACCAGCCAAAACTTGGCTCCTTTTAGCAAGGCCCAGAAGGGAGGGTACAATAGGACCTGGGAGAATGTAAAGTGAATGTTTGTAAAGCGGGAACTCCCTGTATATGAAAACAAGGCCAAATGATCTAGCAACTGGCTTCAAAGAATCAAACCAATATTTAAATGTGTTATGCTTGCTGTACAGTATATTTGTTTGGCTTAAATTATTAGGGTATATTATTTTTAATCACACAAGTCTTACCAATAGCTTTGTGGAGAAGAGTTTGAAGACATCCATCAGGTCCATTTCCCCAGTTGTCAGTGTCAACATGATACCTGGGGAGCAATATTTACAAATAAAGTACTGTATGCTAAAATAATTTAACTCTTATGGACCTAGCATATCTTTGTAGCAACCATCAAAGCTATATGGCCATTTTCAAGTGTCTTGAACTTCTATATCCAAGCACTGAGACCTCACATGCTAAAAGACATTTCCACTGGTAAAAGTTCAGCACAAAGTAACAAAAATGACTCGGAACCAGTTTCACTGTTTACTAGAAAAGGCCGAGACACTCGAATAAACATCTCTTCAAGCAAGACATAAAAGGGCTGATCTAAATGAGACATTATAATACTGAATACATTTGAAGATGTTACTCCAGATGTCTTAAAAACACTGGTGAATGTAATGAAATGCCTCTTTCTGGTAGAGCCCTAGTGCCTCCCTGAAGCAATCTTGCTAAGACTGTTCTCCACCATTGGGTTACATCTGAACAATCTTGAACCGAAGGGGTCACCACAAACTAAGAAGAGGAAAGATAAGAGAGCACCCTGTCAAAGGACCAGGACGGCACAGATGGCGCATAAGCAGGCAGGAGGTGAAACAAAGCATGAGAAAGCTATGGAACGGGACAGAAGTGACATCCACCCCGAACGCAAGCTGGAGCAGCTCCGCCAGCCCTTCATGATACGAGGCGACAGTACAGTATTAGGCATCAAATGATGAGCCTGAAAAAGTCAAATCAAAAAGAACAAAACAACCTGATCAGAAACAGAAGACAACCTACGAAGAGAGAGAAAATGGCAGAAAGAACGCCAGGTAACTTCATACTGTCACTGAGACAAAGCTTTCAAGTGGGACACCATCAATGAAGCCACCCGATCACCATACAAATGTTGATAAACCAGTTTAAAAAAGACTAGATGCGAAGAACGGAGGAGAAAACCTAACCAGCCGTGTATTGGACTGGTCCAACCTGATGGAAGAGGTGGAGCCGCGGAGAACATCCTGGGTTCGCACACTGAGCAAGCAGCGCCTGGAACGAAGGCTGGGTCGGCCACTAAGGGGCTCACAAGGACTACTCTTCCTTGGTAGGACTCCAACCAAGCTAGAACCCAAAGCAACAGCTGAACCGGGAAGAAGAGATACAGGTAAACCCACCTCGACCAGTCCTGCATAAAGGTGTCTACTGCGACAGCTTCGCAATCAGAGGACTGCCACATAGATCGGGAGACGCCAACACCATGTCGACGCAAAGAGGTCCACATTTGGGCGTCTGTACAACCATCAGAGCCAATGGAAGAAATCGGCATTGACCGTCCATTCTGTGGACAGGGGGAATGAACTGAAACAGGCCGTCTGCCAGGATGTTGGACACTCCAGAAATGAACCACATGGAGAGCCAAACCCCGAGAAGCCAGCAGACGAGCCCTTCGAAGCAACCAGCCCCAAAGAGGCAAGGACTGAAAAGAACCCCTGCGGTTCAAGCAATGAACCACCGGAGAACAGTCCGAATGGAGCTAAATGGTCGAACCCCCCTAGCGACCTGAACCCTCTAAAGTGAAAGTCAAACTGTCGCAAACTCCAGCACAGTGCTGTAAGCCAGATGGTAGGACAGACCCCACCGTCCCTGGCAGGCCTGGTAAGCACTGGTCACAAAGCCCCAGCCGAGAGATGTCGAGTCCGTGAACACATTGAGCGAGGGCTCGGGTAGGTGCCAAAGCAGTGAACCCTGAAAACCCCGAAGAGGAAGCTGTTGACGCAGCAACTGATGCAAAGCCCCCGGAGTACGAACCCAGCGATCACAAGAGAAGCGGAAGGGGCATCCCCCAAAGGAACCAGAACAGACGCCGAAGCGAAACCCGACCCAGCAGGTAGACCAACATGGTGAAGTTCAAACTCCCGCACAACTGTTCGAGCAATGGCCAAGTGACACGGGACTCCCCCAGAAACAGTCAAAAGCGGGACCGCAGCCTCAGCAACACCTCCAGAGAGAGAGACATAAAAACGGTTCGAGAGTCCCAAACAAGACCCAGCCAGGTCTGAACCTAGGACGGAACCAGATGGGACTTCCTCCAGTTCACCAGGAACCTGAACCCGGCGAGCTGGGAAAGAACCACACTCCTGGCGACCAGAAAAGCGGACCGACGGGGAGCCCACACCAGCCAGTCATCGAAGTAGACCAGCACCTGAACCCCTAGCACACGCAGATGGGTCACCACAACCTGGGTAAGATGCGTGAATACACAAGGTGCCAGATTCAAGCCAAAAACGCAGGCAATGAAAACGGTAAGCCTGACATCCCACCACGACACCTAACCAGCTTCTGAACCTCGGACGAATAGGAACGTGCCAATACGCGTGCTTCAGGTAATGGGACACAATCCAGGCACTTGGCTCCAAAAGAAGCTGGACCTGAGAAAAAGTGTTCATCAGAAAGGAGGTGCAAGAAATCCAGGGGTTCAGATGGGACAAGTCCAGAATGAACCTCAGATCCGCACAGTCCTGTTGCAGTACTGGAAACAGGTTGGAAACCCACCAGAGGATGGGGGTCGTTAGGACCACGTCCAAGCGCACCCACTCCGAGATGACCTGACAAAGCGCAGGAGAAGAAGCCTGCCCTGCCAACCCCGAACCCCCCAAAAGGGGAGGAGCCACCTAACACCATCACAGGCCGGATGACACGATCGAAAACGCCTATGAATTGTGGGACCAAGCGCGAGCAAACAGAGCGAGCCTCCCGGTTACAATAATGTTTCACACACATTTGTAACTTCCAATAGTTCATTTATGTCTTATAAAGTTCCATGCTGTTTTTCAACGTTTAACACTGTTGTTTCTATATATTTTCCAGCACTAAATATACTTTTTAAATATATATTTTCTTTGCTGTTTACACTGTTTGGGGGATGGCGCTTTCCTGCTATGACAATGCTCTGTACATGTGCAGAACTGACTATTGTACTGGCAGGGGGATTCCAAATGTTTTTTCAACATTTAACACTGCTGTTTGTATGTCTCTCCTGGGTTATACACTTCACAAGGGACTCTTACACCACAAGGATAACTAGGAGAACAATCAGGTAATTACATGTTTGCAATCTCCCGAAGTCCATGACACATGAAGCGGGCTGCAAACATGCACAACCATAGCTGCAGTAAGAATGCAGCTACATCAATAAATCCAACCAGATGCAGAACGATGCCATGGCAATCGGCAATGATTATGGTGAACATGACCTATCATCATCTATAGAACTCCCTGCCCATCCACACCATCTTCTCCCAAGGCCACTAAGAACCACAACATGTGGACAACCTCATCAGCACCGTGCAAAACAGGGCAGAAAGAGAATGATGCCATGACTGAAAGGCAACAACTAAGCAATGATCCCATATAAATGCTATGTATCAACACAGGAGCAACTACCTTAACAAGAGGTTTAGAGGAAACTCGGTGATAAGCATATTTTATTAACAAATTGAATGTGAATCCATAATCAAATATGAGTTTGAAATGCCTACTGTAGAGGAATAACTTACTGAACTAAAGTGGAAGCAATATCCTCCTGTTTGGAGTCAAGTGCTAGCCACAGGGGAGGCTCAGGTGAGTTTGGATGATTGTTGTGATCAGCTCCTTTACTACACAACAGGCCAACCACTGCCCCAAAGCCTTCATTGATACATAATTCTAATGGTGATTGACCTTCACGAGTTCTGCAAAGACAAACATATAAAAAATGATTGTTGACCAGACCACACACTAGAAGGTGAAGGGACTGAAACGTCGTCGTCCCTTCACCTTCTAGTGTGTGGTCTGGTCAACATACTTTAGCCACATTATTGTGACTCATTGCCTGCGTCAAAAATGAATATTTTTCTATACAGGTGAACCTAAAAATCTGGCTTATATTGCTCTGGACCTGATCTAGATTTGATGAAAATCAAGATGTCCTGGAATTTTCCTCTTTTTTGGCTATTTACCACAAAATTTTATACATTTTTCTTAAAGCAAGCAATACAATGCATAGTTAGACATGCAAATAAAATATAAAGAATGATTTTGGTGGAATATAAATATTATTTGTAATATATCAATGTAAAAGAAATTAGGGTTTCTGAAGCTACTATGCTGATATAGTGCCAAACAGCAGGTGCCATCAGCCGAGAAGTTCTTTTAGGCCTACCAGGGGCTATGACCCAGAACCTGGCCCCCCTCAAGAGAATAACAAATTTAATCTAAATTAAGCTGCATAAATTATTGTACTGTACTTGAAATAATAATTTCCATCATAGATTTTATGCACAATATTCATTTAACACATAATGACACTATAAAGACATTAATTATCATGATTAATATTGTCATTAATATTATATATTACCATTTGCCATTTACTTTTGGAAAATTGAAAAAGCAACAACAAACCTCAGATTCACATCTGCTCCATTATTAATAAGGAAAGTGGCCACTTGTATATCTTTAACCTGGATGGCCATGTGTAAAAGGTTCAGGCCTTGAGAGTCAGTAGTATTTATATCAGCACCAGCTTCCAATAGATGTTTTGCCACTGACAGTTGCTCAGTCCCTAATGCCACTCCCAGCACTGTTAAGTCACCTGAATCTCGAAGGTTTAGATCAGGAATCAACAGAGAGTCTACTTTGTGACTCTCACAATATTCTGTAAAAGAATAAAATAAAAACATTAAGACAATAACTCCGTGTCAGTATCCTTACTCCATTGGGCAGTTTATGGAATGAACAAGGTATCAGAGATATAAATGCATTTATGTTACAAAACATTTCTAGTGAGTATCTGAACTGCAAATATTTGCATTTGAATATGTATTTGTGGAGGGGTACATGCTTGTATTAACCTAAATATTTCTGCATGAAGGTAGGCTCAGATTTTGGGCCATGCCTCTTAGCTCTCAGGTAACCGCTGCAACTACTCTTGACCTAGTGATTATTCATATCTGCTCTTAAGGCAATAAATGGAACAGACTTTCAATATCTCTGCTTTCAGTTCATTTCACTTGTTAATCACTCTTATTTCCAAGAAAAGCTACTGTTATGATCCCAGCATAACCAGTTCCGACTAGATACACTGGGCCCATACCTATATGTATTCATTTACTTGTGATGCAATTTTCTATAACATTATACGGCTGCAGTATCTATATTAATGTACAGTATGTTTAAATTTCACTATGTACATGTGTATTATGTTCATGTCATACAGGTATTTCATTTTGTTGCTGTCGAGTGGTTGAACCACTTGTTGCACGAGTCTTGGCTGGACAGCCCCAGAGTAATTACTTAAATGTAATTATCTAAGTGTAGTTACAGGATGAGAGCTACACTCGTATTGTCCCGTCTACCCAGCACTGTCATATAATGCTTTGAAGCTACTGACGGTTTTGGCCTCTACCACCTTCTCGCCTAACTTGTTCCAACCGTCTACCACTCTGTTTGGGAAAATGAATTTTCTTATATTTCTTCGGCATCTTTGTTTAGTTAGTTTAAATCTATGTCCTCTTGTTCTTGAAGTTCCAGGTCTCAGGAAATCTTCCCTATCGATTTTATCAATTCCTGTTACTATTTTGTACGTAGTGATCATATCACCTCTTTTTCTTCTGTCTTCTAGTTTTGGCATATTTAATGCCTCTACCCTCACCTCGTAGCTCTTGCATTTCAGTTCTGGGAGCCACTATTAGCATGTCTTTGCACCTTTTCCAGTTTGTTGATATGCTTCTTAAGATATGGGCACCACACAACCACTGCATATTCTAGCTTTGGCCTAACAAAAGTCGTGAACAATTTCTTTAGTATTTCGCCATCCAAGTATTTAAAAACAATTCTAAAGTTAGAAAGAATGGCATAGACTCCTCGCACAACGTTCTTTATGTTCTAAATTCCTCAGGTGATAGTTTTCTATCTATAACCACCCCTAGATCTCTTTCTTTATCAGAATTCTTTAAAGATTTCTCACATAATTTATAGGTTGTGTGGGTCTATGTTCTCCTATTCCACATTCCATAACATGGCATTTATTCACATTAAATTCCATTTGCCAAGTGGTGCTCCATATACTTATTTTGTCCAGGTCTTCTTGAAGAGCATGGCAATCATCTTAGTTTTTTATCCTTCCTATTATCTTAGCATCATCAGCAAACATGTTCATATAATTCTGTATACCAACTGGTAGATCATTTATGTAGACAATAAACATCACTGTTGCAAGAACTGAACCCTGTGGTACTCCACTTGTGACCTTTCTCCATTATGATAAATTGCCTCTGATTACTGCCCTCATTTTTCTATCAGTCAGAAAATTTTTCATCCATGTTAGAAGCTTACCTGTCACCCCTCCAATATTTTCAAGTTTCCAGAACAACCTCTTATGTGGAACTCTGTTGAAAGCCTTTTTTAGGTCCAGATAGATGCAGTCAACCCAACCATCTCTTTCCTATAAAATCTCTGTGTATTATACATAGAAACTGAGTAAATTCGATACACAGGATTTTCCAGATCGAAAACCATACTGTCTGTCTGATATTATATCATTTCTCTCCAGGTGTTCTACCCATTTAGTTTTTATTATTTTTTCCAATATTTTCACTATTACAATTGTCAATGATACATGTCTAAAATTGAGGGGGGGGGGGGGGTCTTCCCTACTGCCACTTTTGTAGATTGAAATTATGTTGGCCTTTTTCCACACGTCTGCTACAACTCCTGTACACAGGGATGCCTGACAGATCAGGTGAAGTGGAATGCTGAGCTCAGATGCACATTCTCTCAGAACCCATGGTGAAACTCCATCTGGGCCAACTGCTATGTTCTTACTTAGCTCCTTTAACATATTTTCCACTCCATCTCTAGACACCTCTATACACACTATGTTGTTCTCTGAAAATTTCATTTTGTACAAACACACTTTGGAACTTTTTGTTTAATGCTTTACACATTTCCTTTTCATTTTCCGTGAATCTGTTTCCCATTTTCAATCTCTGGATATTATCCTTTACCTGCAATTTGTTGTTTATGATTTTGTAGAATAGGCCCGGTTCTGTTTTACATTTATCCGCTATCCCTTTTTCAAAATTTCTTTCTGCCTCTCTCCTTACTGCAGTATAGTTGTTTCTCGCATCTTTGTATCGCTGGTATGTTTGGGGGTTTGGCCTCTTCCTATATAATAGAAAGAGGCCAATAGGTAGGAAATAGAAGACAACCTACGAAGAGCAAGAAAATGGCGAAAAGAATGCGAGGAAACTTCATATGGTCCCAGAGACGAAGCTCGCAGGTGGGACACCATCAATGAAGCCACCTGATCACCATAGAGATGGTGATACACCTTCGTCAAAAAGAGCAGACGCGAAGAGCAGAGGAGAATGTCGAACCAGCCACGTACCGGACTGGTCCGACCTGCTGAAAGAGGCGGAGCCGCAGGAAATGCCCTGGGTTTGGACACTGAGCAAGCAGCATCTGTCCCAGGACTCCAACCGAGCCAGAACCCGAAGCAACAGCTGGACCAGTGGGGAAGAGGTACAGGTAACCCCACCTCGACCAGTCCTGCCGAAAGGCATCTACAGCGAAAACCTCACAGGCGGGGAAGGGCGCCACATAGAATGGGAGAAGCTGAGACCACGCCGACGTGAAGATGTCTATGTCCGGGAGTCCATACATCCGGCCGAGTCAACGAAACATGTTGCTGTCTACCATCCATTCCGTGGACGGGAATGAACCAAGACAGGTTGTTTGCCAGGACGATGGACACTCCCCGGACATGAACTGCACGGAAAGCCAAACCCCGAGAATCCAACAGACGAGTCACCTGAAGTAACCAGCCCCCAGTGAGCCAAGGACTGCATCGAACCCCCGTGGTTCAGACAATGAACCACCAGGGAGGAGTCCGAATGGAGCTCGAACATCGATCCGCGAGTGACACGAATTCTCTGAAGCAAAAGCCACACTGTCACAAACTCCTGCACTGTGCTGTGAGCCCAACGGAAGGACGGACCCCACCGACCCTGGCCGGCCTGGTAGGCACTGGTCACAAAGCCCCAGCCGAGAGACGACACATCTGTGAACACATCGAACAAGGACTCGGGTAGGCGCCACAGCACTGAACCCCAAAAAAACTGAAGAGAAAGCAGGTGACACAAGGCCCACTGAGGTCCGAACCCAGTGATCGCGAAAGTGGTGGAAGGGGCATCCCCCGAAGGAACCAGAACAGCTGCCGAAGTCAGATCCGACCAGACTGGAAGACCAGCACAGCGAAGTTCAGACTCCCGCACAGCTGCACGAACAACCGACAAGTGACCCAGGTGCCCTCCAAAAACAGCCGAAGATGGAACTGCAGCCGCAGCAATGCCACTGGAGGGAGAGATAAGGAAACAGTCTGAGAGTCCCACAAAAGACCCAGCCAAGTCCGAACCTGAGAGGGAACCACGTGGGACTTCCTCCAGTTCACCAAGAACAATCGCGTTTCGGTACTGGAAACAGGCGAGAAACCCACTTGGGGGACGTTGTCGTTTTGACACACCCATTCCAAGATGATCTGACAGAGCACAGGAGAAGAGGCCTGCCCTGCCAGTCCCAAACCCCCAAAAAAGGAGGAACCTCCCAATGCCACCAGAGGACAGAAGAAACGACCCAAAATGCCCATGAATTGTGGGACCAGTGAGCCTCTCCCCCCCCCCCATCGCTCCGTCTATGGGGTAAACCGCGAAAGGGTCAACGACCCTTACGAGAAGCCAAACAACACACAGTGAGCACCGAGATGACCAGATGCCTTAGAAATAGCCTAAGCTATTCTATCCCTTTGAGATGTATTTTTTTCTTGTCTCAATAAACATACTGTATTTGAACTTTGATGCCTTTGACTCCGAAGGAGGGCCTGCCCTGAATCTGGCACCACTGGCCCATCACAATCGAAGGAATCCCAAACCATGGCATGACACTTATGAGCAGGACACCCCCCCCCCCCCAGAGAACCAACAACTCCGACATGGGATGGCAACTAGAAGAAGCTGCCTGCAAATACTGCACAACCGCAGACTCTACAAACAGCAACAGGCAAAAATGGGATGAAAACCAAAGCGCCAGGCCCCAAGCAGATTCTAAAGAGTGAGCGAGCACTGCCTGTCGGCACATGAGGTGAGAAGCAGAGAACAGAGACACTGTTTCCTTCAGATTCCTTCAGAATCAGCACAAACAACCTCAACAAGGCAACCGACGCCCAAGCCATTGAAGCAAGTGCACCAGATGCAGGACCAGATCCCAGCGCCTCCACATCCTCCTCGAGCCAATCCGAAGACAGCTCAAAAAGGGAAAAGAAATGCAAAACCGAAGCCAAATGCCTAAGGGCATGCAAGTCCTCAGCCACAAAAGATGTCGAAAGGGCGGGGAACCTGCACGTGAAGCTGTAGCTAACTGATATCTCAAGGAAGAACGGGGGCGGACAAGCACGCATTGAGGCGCTCAAACTCGCCCCCAGGTAAACCTGAAGTACTAGTAGTTTCACACTATACTCAAACGTGCGGGTCTGACAGAACGCATGCCATGCCCCCAATGAAAAGAAAGAGCAATCTGCCAACCAGGATGACTCTGGCACCTTGTAATGCACCCAGTAAGGAAAAAGAGGAACCAAACTTAAAAGGAAGAATGATCCATTATCGAAGCGAAATCTGGATCTCGCAGGAGGTACGACGCAATAGCGTCCCGAACCTCCTTAGGCGTGATGCGGAAAGCCGAAAACCTCTGGAAAGTGGGAACCGAGGAACCTAAGGGAACCCAAAACCAAACCCGGGGAGGAACTGAACTCATAGCAAACTCATACAGGGAGGGGGGATAAGAAAACCCCTCTCCCTGCAACAGCATGACCTACACTAAGGGTACCAACACCCAAACGGGGTTAAACAGGGCACAAGTTCCTCATGTCAACTCCTCCCCAGCCCTGGGATCCTCTACGTTGGGACTCGGGGCAGAGCTGTCCCCCAAACCCTCCGTCTCTGGAGAAAAGGCAGAGGCCACCGGAAAAGCAGGGAAGATGGAAGTCCGCTGGTCTGACCCAAAAGTTCCGGCAGCTGAACCAGCAGAAGGGCCAGCCCCCGAAACCATCCGAGTCTCGCCACCATCTAAACCTTGCCACGAATCCAAAACCCTCAGACGTTTGGGAGCCGGCAACAAAGGGGGGGGGAGAAACAGGACGAACAACAGAAGAGGGAAGGACAAGCGGGCACGGATGAAACCAAAATCGAGGCGACTAGCACCCCCTAAGTCCGGGTCCCTATAACCAAAGCAAGGAAGCCTCGGACATGCGGAAAGGCAACCAACCTAGCATATTGAAGCAACCTAAACCTCGCATGCAACGCTAAAGCTGCCTGCACCTGAATATTAAGATCAGTGGATTGGGTGAACTGGAGTACAAGTAAGGAACACCACTCACAGGACTAGTTCAAAGGTCTCATTGACCCAACAGGCAACATGGGGGAGGCAGAAAAGGCGAGTTTCAACCTGAGACAAGGGGACAGAGCAACCTTCAAACTCTCATGAAGTGAGATGGGACTCGGAGGATGCATCCATTGGACCAATAAACCCCAATGAGGTTTTCCAGGGCCCTTAGGCTGACTGCTAAAGGAAACCCAGGCAAGGTATTGCTAACTGGTTATCCCAGAACTACCAAACAAACAAACAAAAGCTGAACCCCTGCGATGTGTACAATCATAGGGGCCTAGTGAAGGGGCACCAAAATAATACAAGTGGTTCTGTAGCCACACTAGGCAGTATCCCCGCCAGGCAAACCAAAAGAAAAGAAAAAGAAAAACCCTGCAAAAGCACAACATCTCCAGGAGGAACAGAACCGGCTGCTATGCATAATATAAGACAGCTGCACAGTACCTTGCGCCCCTGCCAGTGACGATACTACCTCCCACTCAAGGTCAAACAGTGGCACGAAAGCCCCAGCTGAGCCCAAGGGAGGGCAATCACCGAGTAGCAAAAGAACCCTGCGGAGGTAGTTCCCAAACAGTTTGTGGAAGGTAACCCCAAACCGCAAGGGGCAGTACTTACAGGGCACCTAGGGAAGGTGACCCTAGGCGCATGCAGACATAGTATTTCTGGAATTACACCTGGCTCGCACACCACAGCACAACACCACGAGGCACAACACTGCTCAAAGATTTGAGCCAGAGTCAAATAACTGCCACTCAACACATCACCCTCAGAACTGAGGGTGGATAGCCGGCGCGGGGTCTGGGGCTCCCCCCTTCCCCCTCCCGGGAAGAGGGGAGCTGCGCAGACAAGCGGCACGGCAGTGGGCGTGATGTCATGCTTGTTTGCTTGTTTACAGATTGGGAAGTTCTGCTTAGCAGTTCAGTTTTAGGTAGTACTGTTTCACCAGTTGGGGTCTGTTTTGGGATGTTTACCTTTCTGGGTGCTTAACTTGGTAGATGGCAGACATAGAATGCTTCCAACCACATGGGCGTTTCTATAGGCCATTGCTCCTTGTGCCTCTCTGAGGCGGGCCAGGTTCTGGCTTGTGGTCCCATGGTAGGCTAAGAACTCTTTAAATATTTTGAATTGACTGATGCCATCATATCTAATAGCTCTTATATCACTCTCATATGGCTCATATCACGAAAAGTTAAAGTAGATAATGGTGAATCATTTTCATCTTCCAAAGTATAGCTGGCCATTGGTGTGGATGAATACAGGGAGCCAGTAATGAGAGGGGCTCTCCACATAATTAGGAGATTCATACCTAATTCATTGAAATCTACACTACAAAAGTATGTTCAAGTGATTACTGACCCATGCTGATGAGTGCTGTTGGCGTATGGGAGATGGTGAGGAGGGGGAAGGAGGAGAGGTGTTACTATTTGGAAGGGGAGTCCCCTTCCATTATATCATCAGGCAGTAAGGACCTCTCTGGAGTGCATTCTCTGGCACGTTTTGCCTGCATACCACTAGGACGTGCTTGTGGCTCACTGCTTGCTTGTCTTACTAAGAAACTGTCTAAAGACATTTGTTTTCCCTACATTTTAACACTTGTCTGTAGTAAGACATCACATTGTCATTTAAAAGGTCAATGCAACGGCCTGCTATAGCTTTGGGTGAGTTTTTTGGGCAAGATCTGGGTGAGTTTTTTTCAACAAAACTTTGCAGTTTTTCCCATTCTTCACACATTTTCTTAATGTGGAAGGGATATCCTCTACTGCCTCTACTCAACTTTTTTCTTAGGTTGAACCTTACCATTGACTTTCTTGGGACCCATTACGAGATATATAACAACTTTTATGCTCAAATGGTCAAATATCCAACAAAACACTGTAAATCCTGGTGAAGAATTCAGGCGGGATAGTCACTGGGTGCGAGGCATTGGTAAACTGAGGGGCGATCGCCGTGCCACCACGCACTAGGTCGGCCTGTATGCGTATCAACACCCTCGTATTCCGAGGCAACGCTAGTATCACCGAGCAGCAACAGATCCCTTGCGTCCAGATATTTTAGCAGGGGAAATTACTGGCATTTCTAACAATCAATAATAGTGGGTTATAAGATTTTATATAATTTTTAATTTAGTTTCTATTTATATACTGTTTTAATGTACAGTATCTGTGCATTTGTAAATATAGGCCACTGCACATCATTCAGTAATGTGACAGCTATGCCCCATAAGTCCGATCAATCTGAATCAAGAAATAGTCAAACTCTGTCGTGATTTTGGCTGAGTTACCTAGAGATTTAAGTTAGTGAGGTTCAAATTAGTGAATGGTTAATATAATAGGAAAACAATTACATGGTTATATATTAAACAGGATAAAACATGAATCAAATACAGCATCTAAATGCAGTAACAAGAAAAATGTATATGCATAAAACAAAAAAGGATATGAACCCTATACAAGGCATTTCAAGGTTGACTGGTGCCTTACCTGGAGGAGTGCAGTTGTCAGTGATGGGAGACCAACAGTACATGATAAATGGAGAGGTGTTTCTCCATCAGCATTAACTACATTACAATTAGCACCTTGTGTGGTAAGAAAAAGACCTGCTTCTTCCAGACCTTCTCGTGCCACAAGATGAAGGAGAGCTTCACCTTTGGTGCCCACAACCTGGGTAAATATAAAATGCTTTGTTAATTCAAAATCAAACATAATCATAATGATCATGGCAATAATTTGTTATACACTGCTATTAGAGGGGTTACAGAATCTATAACTATTACTATATAATTCAATCATATTTGCTTATCAAAATGAAGCAATTTACTTTATAATTTATTATAATTAAATAAATTCACGTGCTGCACCGTATTGTAAAAAGTTGTCCAAGTTTTGCAAGTGTGCATCAAATTTAACCCTCAAGCTGCTCTGGGCTATTTGACCTTTGTCACCCACAGCTGTCTAAAAAAAAAATAACTTTTTTTTTCTTATAAACCTGTCAATTTGTGTTCCTTAATCACGGGAAAATAATAATAAAAAATGTAAGTGGCATATTTTGGCCGCAATAGGGCGTGGAAGTTTGGCAAAAACTAGCATTGAATGTAATGAAACGCCATTTTCTGGGTGAGTCCCGGAGGCTTCCCAGAGCTATCCAGGCTGAATGGATATCTTTCTGGCATTAGTCAATGCATAGAGTTCTTACCTACCAGGGACCACGAGCCAGAACCTGGCCCCCTCTGGAGAGGCACGAAGAGCAATGGCCTATAGAGACCCCTCTGTGGTTGGGAACATTCTATATCTGCCATCGACCAGGACAGGCAACCAGAAAGGTAAGCGCCCCAAAACAAACCCCTATTCTGGTAAAACTATTGCGATCGAAGGCCGAACAAGTGGATAGAACTCCCTAAACGAAAATGAGCAAACTAGCATGGCATCATTTCGTCGCACTGCTGCCTGCGCAACCCCCCCTCCCCGGGAGGAGGAAGGGGGAGCCCCAGACCCACCCGCTGGCGACCCAACCTTTAGTTCTTAGGCTGGATGTCAAAAAGCACGAAAGACACCGCCGACCGGAGGGAGGGCGGGATGCTGGGGAGAACATAACATAAGAACATAAGAACAAAGGTAACTGCAGAAGGCCTATTGGCCCATACGAGGCAGCTCCTATTCTATAACCACCCAATCCCACTCATATACTTGTCCAACCCGCGCTTGAAACAATCGAGGGACCCCACCTCCACCACGTTACGCGGCAATTGGTTCCACAAATCTACAACCCTGTTACTGAACCAGTATTTACCCAAGTCTTTCCTAAATCTAAACTTATCCAATTTATACCCATTGTTTCGTGTTCTGTCCTGTGTTGATACTTTTAATACCCTATTAATATCCCCCTTGTTATGTCCATTCACCCACTTGTAAACCTCTATCATGTCGCCCCTAACTCTTCGCCTTTCCAGTGAATGCAACTTAAGCTTTGTTAATCTTTCTTCATATGAAAGATTTCTAATTTGGGGAATTAACTTAGTCATCCTACGCTGGACACGTTCAAGTGAATTTATATCCATTCTATAATATGGCGACCAAAACTGAACTGCATAATCTAAATGGGGCCTAACTAGAGCAAGATATAGCTTGAGAACCACACCAGGTGTCTTGTTACTAACGCTGCGATTAATAAATCCAAGTGTCCGATTTGCCTTATTACGAACATTTATGCATTGATCCTTTTGTTTTAAATTCTTACTAATCATAACTCCCAGATCCCTTTCGCAATCCGACTTCGCAATCACAACACCATCTAGCTCGTATCTTGTAACTCTATCATCATTACCTAACCTCAGAACTTTACATTTATCAGCATTAAACTGCATCTGCCAATCCTTTGACCATTTCAAAACCCTATCTAGATCAACTTGAAGTGATAGTGAGTCCTCCTCCGAATTAATTTCCCTACCGATTTTCGTATCATCGGCAAATTTGCAAATGTTGCTACTCAAACCTGAATCTAAATCATTTATATATATTATAAACAACAGAGGTCCCAGGACAGAGCCTTGAGGCACTCCACTTACAACATTTTCCCACTCTGACTTGATTCCATTTATACTAACTCTCTGTTTCCTTTGGTATAGCCATGCCCTAATCCAGCTTAATATAGCACCCCCAATACCATGAGACCCTATTTTTTTTAATCAGTCTTTCATGTGGCACTGTATCAAAAGCTTTGCTAAAGTCAAGGTATACAACATCGCAATCCTTACCACTATCAACTGCCTCAACAATGCTAGAATAAAAAGATAACAAATTTGTTAAACATGAACGGCCATTTATAAAACCATGTTGCGACTCAATTATTAATTTATGTTTTTCAAGATGAAGACGAATTTTATTTGCTATTATAGATTCGAGTAACTTTCCCACAATAGACGTTAGGCTAATTGGTCGATAGTTAGACGCAAGTGATCTATCTCCTTTCTTAAAAACTGGTATCACATTAGCAACTTTCCAAAACTCTGGCACTCTGCCTGACTCTATTGATTTATTAAATATGGTTGACAGTGGGTCACAAAGCTCCTCTTTGCATTCTTTAAGCACCCTAGCAAACACTTCATCCGGCCCTGGGGATTTGTTTGGTTTGAGTTTTACTATTTGTTTAAGAACATCCTCCCTGGTAACTGCTAAACTCGTCAACCTGTCCTCGTCCCCACCCACATAGACTTGTTCGGCTGAAGGCATATTGTTAAGTTCCTCTTTAGTAAATACAGATACAAAATATTTATTAAAAATACTACTCACATCTTCATCACTATCTGTTATTTGACCTGTCTCAGTTTTTAATGGACCTATCCTTTCCCTAGTCTTAGTACGATATAACTGAAAAAACCCTTTAGGATTTGTCTTTGCTTGCCCTGCTATGCGAACTTCATAGTTTCTTTTTGCTTTCCTTATCTCTTTTTTAACATTTCTAACCAGTTGTACGAATTCCTGTTCTAAAGTGACCTCCCCATTTTTAATCCTTTTGTACCAAGCTCTCTTTTTACCTATAAGGTTCTTCAAATTCTTTGTTATCCACTTTGGGTCATTAGTATACGATCTATTCAATTTGTATGGTATACTACGTTCCTGTGCTTTGTTTAGAATATTCTTAAATAAGTTATATATTGAATCCACATCGAAATCCCCATTTAAGTCACCTATCGCTGGGTTCATGTCTCGCTCCAAGACCGGCCCACACCCCATACCCAAGCCTTTCCAATCAATTTGACCCAAAAAATTTCTTAGGCTATTAAAATCAGCTTTTCGAAAATCTGGCACTTTAACAGAATTTTCTCCTACTGGTCTATTCCATTCTATGCTAAATCTGATTTCTTTGTGATCACTGCTCCCTAGCTCACTCCCTATTTCGATGTCATTAATTTGCGTTTCCCTGTTAGTTAACACTAAATCTAAAATATTATTTTCCCGTGTTGGTTCCTTAATGTGTTGCGTAAGAAAGCAATCGTCAATTAATTCTAGAAAATCTCCGGAGCCTCCGGGATTCACCCAGAAAATGGCATTTCATTACATTCAACGCTGGTTTTCCCGGGGGAAGCCCCGTCGGCTCCCTGGAGCTACCTCGCCACAGATAAGGAAAAGAGGGAAGGATCTGGGAGGCGGACGCCATGTGCCCGAACATAAAGACAAAACCACAGACAAAAAGAAAGAACCCTGCAGACGACCCGGGAGATCCGAACTCCAGAACAGGAAGGAGGGAAATAAGAGAACCCGGGCAAACCAAAATGTGTCTACAGCCCCGAAGGCCAAGATGCGCAGAGAACAGTGAAGAGCCGCAACCGAACAACAAAAGAAAGCATCCCCGGCCTGACCAACCAAGCAGCAACCCAGGACCCTTCTGGGAAGCAGCAGACCCAAACATCACCCGAGAAGGAGACTGTATCAAAAGAACAACCCACCACGAGGACCAACGAGGCAGAAAAACCATGAGCGCCAAAGAGACAAACTCCCCGACCTGGCCCCTAGAGGTCAACAACAAAAAAAGGAAACCTGAAAAAAAAAAAACACCAGAACCGAAGGGATCACGACAAACCGAGGAGAAGAATAGAACAGACCACCCGGGCCAATGACCAGGACCGCACCGGAAGTGCGAGAGCAGGCCAGAGGTGAAATAACGCCCAAAACAGCAAGCAGAACGGAGCAGAAGGAATAGCCACACCGAACACAAGCTGGAGCGGTTACGCCAGCGCCACCCAAGACGAGGCAAAAGTACACGGCACCAGAAGATGGTCCGGGAACAACCCCAAAGGTAAAGAAAAGATAACCTTATCAGAGACCAAAGAACCCCAATGCAGTGATAGGAAAACCAGAAGGACCGCCAGAAAACTACACACTGCCACGGAGACGAAGCACACAGGTGGGAGATCAACAACGAAGCCACCAGCGTCTACACAAGCGATGAGAACACGAGATAAAATCCCCAGATGCAAAGACTCGAGGGGAAGAATGAATCAGCCCCGAACAGGGCTAGACCAATCTGCAAAAGAGGCGGAGCCGCGGGAAGTCCCTCAGGATCGGAACGGAGAAAAACAGAGCTCCCAAACAAGGCTGGCAAAAACAAGAAGGAACAGCTGCCAGGGAACTAGGAACCCAATCCCGGCGAGCCGAAAAGGAACCAACCCGGACGAGCAGAAACGCCCCGTCCGGGAGTAACCCACCCCCCTCTCCCAGAACCCTGGAAGGACCAACAAGGTCAAACACCAAAGAGCCAGTGATGTTGAGCCAGCCACCATGAAATGAGCAGGAGAAAAGAAAGAACCTGATCCAAGGACCTGGCACACTCAGGCGGCTCATGAGCAGACCAGAGGTGAAACAAATTGCGAGAAAGCTTGTGGAATGGGGTCCAAAGAAACGGCAATCACAAACACGAGCTTAAGTGGCTCCACCAATGCCGCACGACCCAATACCACTTCCAGAGAATGCCATAGAATTCAGAGAAATCTCAAGACAAAATGGAAAAATTACTCAAGGGGCTAGGAAGAAATAAAGTAGTTGGACCTGATGGAGTTTCACCTTGGGTGCTGTGAGAATAGGCAACTAAGCTGAGCATTCCACTCCAATTAATATTCCAGATATTCTTGTGCACAAGAATCCTAGCAGATACAGTATATGGGAAAAGGCAAACATAGTACCAATCTATAAAAATGGTAGTCAAGAGGAACCTCTAAATTATAGACTTTTATCACTAACAAGCGTGTTAGTCAAAATACTAGAAACAATAGTTAAAGTCAAATGGGTTGAAGATCTAGAGAATAATGACATAATAATGGCCAGACAGTATGGTTTTCGAACAGGAAGATCCTGTGTAAGAAATCTACTTAGTTTTTAATGATAGAGCCATAGAGATACTACAGGAAAGATGTGGTTGGGTTGACATTCTATCTGGACCTAAAAATCCAGTGTTGAATGTAATGAAATGCCATTTTCTGGGTGAAGACCCGGAGGCTTCCTGAAGCTATCCGAACTGATGTGTGCTATATTAGTTTGGGGTCAGTCATTGGAGTTCTTTAAGCCTACTGGAAACCAGCACCAGAACCTGGTTCCCTCAAAGACACAGGGAGCAATGGTATATGACCACTCTACATTTAAATAGTCCAGCAACTTACTGGTAATTAAAAAATAAATATGAAAAAAATATTCATCTTCTAAGAAAAAATGTCAAAAACAAAAATTAATTTATCATTTCTACTTACTGTATATACAAATACGTACTGTAATGCAAGAATATTCAGTAAATACAAAACCTGTAGTTAAACTCACAGCATCAGATGATGCCCCTTTCTTGATCAGTAGTGCAGCACAAGATCCATCACCAAAGTCTGTACTTCTGGTCAGAGCATACCACAAAGTAGGGTATCCAAACTTGTCTTTCAACTCCAGACGTAGATTATTGTGTTCTATCAAAACACGGAAAATTTCCATTCTTTCCCCTTCCACAATTAAGTGCATCACTGTTCTGCAAAGAACCAAGAATTTTCCTAAATTTATTGTATAATCAATTGTACAACTAGACATTGACTGCATGAGGGAAAATGAGAAAGATATTCCTGAACTAGTATATCACATGATACTAACAGGGTGGTTAAATGACTGCAGTGGGTGCTATGATTACAGAGAATAATGACTACATAGTCACACACATGGAGTGTAAGAAGTACAATGAGTTACTGGAGTACAGGTGGAACAATTTTACAGATGGATGAAATAACTGCAAGGTGGTGAAATGAATAAAAGAATGTGATGACTATAGGAACAGGGGAAATGGTTATGGTGGTCTTTTTGTAGTGGTAAAAGTGGTTGCAGCAAAGTTTTAGTTGAGGTGAAGGTTTTTAGTTGTGGTGGCAGATGTACTTAGTGATTTGTGGTGGTGATCAGACCCCATGCCTGGAAGTGCTAAGGATACATTTGATCTGGGGTCTGGGTAATTGAGGAACCCAAAAGGCAAATGCTTTGATACTACATGGTGGTTGGGTGGCCTTCCACCCAAGTGTAATAAGTTAACTTTGAACAAAAGCTTTAATGTATAAAAGTGTGTAATAAAGACTCTTGGACCCCTAATTTCCTAATGTCCTAAAAGGGCATACAAGTGTTTTCCCTTGTTCCAGTGACAATGTCTAATTAGGATGAATCTGATTACTTACTACTAAAAAATTATGAAAAACTGATAATTACTTAAATTATTTTATTATTTCTCTAGTGATTACCTTGTCTGTGGTTAATAAACAACAAATTTAGTAATCGTTAATACCCTTAATTTTAATAATCTATTTAACAAAAATACTCCTACCTTGTTTCAAATTAACTCAACAAATTTATAAAAACCAATTAGGAAGCTATGTGAGCAATGCGACAAGGATGTTCAGTACAGTATGGCAAAGTTAACTCTAAGAAATAATTAAGCAATAAATTATCTGGCTTATAAAATAACATCCTAAACTCTGGCCCGACTCCGATAGACTCGGACGTTTGGAAGCTGGAAGCAGGGAAAAAGAGGTGTAGGATGAACAATAGGGAAAGGACCATGGAGCACGAACTGAACCAAAGTTGAAGCAACTAACGCCCCCTATAACCAAAGCAGGGCAGCCATGGGACATCCAGGTGGGAACCAACCTAGCATGTTGCGGCAACCTATCATGCAACACGGATGCAACACTAACAGTAATGTCATCAGAATAGTACTGGAGAACAAGCAGAGAACACGACTCGCAAGACTCTGGGGTCAAAGGTGTCGTTCACTCAAAGGCAGGAAGATGGAGGCAAAAGAGGTGACTGTCACCCCGGGACAAGGGCACACAGCAACCTTCGAACCAGCACGAGGCAGGCTGGAACTCTGAAGACGCACCCATAGGTCCACTGAGCCCCGACAGGGTTTTCCAGGGTCCGAAGGTTGACTTCAATGGAAAGCCCGGGTAAGGTGTTGCTAACCGGTTAAGACCCAAAGCTAACAAGGGGGAGATCAAAACACTGAAACCCCTGCGACGTGTACAATCATGGGGGCCTAGCAGAGGGCCACCAAAATATTATAAGTGGAACAATAGCCACACCAGGCAGACCCCCACCAGGCAAGAAAAACAACAACAAAAGGAACCAGCTGCCACATAGGTAGGCAGGCTGCACAACACCCTGACGCCCCAACCAGCACAATACCACTCCCTACCCAAGGCCAAACGAGGGCCGTGAAACAGCAGCTGACCCCAAGAGTGGGGTAAATGCCGAGACTTGGACACTGCACCTGGACCTGGATAAAAACACCACCTTGGAATTCGAGGCCAGAGAAGACAACTGCCCTGGAGCACATTAGCAAACGAACTGGAGTGCTAGGTAGCCGGCGTGGGAAGGTTCGGGGCTCTCCCTTTTCCCTCTATGGGAAGGGAAAGGGAGGACTGCATGGACAAGCGACACGGCGGTGGAGTATGATATTTGCTCGTTTGCTTGTTTCCTTGGGATTGGAGGGAGTTCTGCCTCTCTTCAGTTTTTAGTTTTAATTTTCTTACCATGTGGGGTTTGTTTTGTTATGTCTACCTTTCTGGGTGCCTAACCCCGGTCGATGGCAGATAAGGAAAACCCCCAACCACAAGGGGGGTTTTCCAGGGCCATTGTTCCTTGCACCTCTCTGAGGGGACCAGGTTTTGGCTTGTGTTAGTACTGAGTGTTTTTGGCTGGGTTAGTACTGAGTGAGCAACCATGGGTGGCACACACGCATGGTGTTTTCCATAGATATTTTCAACAATAGCTGAATCTCTTCTAGATTGACTAGCACTCTCCAAAAATGACAATCTCTTCCAGTCAGGGACCTTACAAAGCAATCTTTTCAAGACTACCTTATGCTTTACAAGCTTGACTACATACCACCTATAAGTACTGAAGCCAAGGGTGTACGTGAGTGCGTTATTTGCAAGCACACAGAACGAAGAAACAGGAAGCGAAAATCTTCCTGTACATGGTGCAATGAGAGCGAAGTTGCGCTGTGTACCATGGACTACTTCGTTGATTATTACTCACTTCCGAAGTACTGAGTGTGTAATACAGTGTGTTACTGTGTAGTGTGTGAAACTGTACATATTGCAATTTTAGTGAATTTTTAACAAGTAATATTGCGACAATAAACATTTATTGTGGACACATTACTGACATGTATCACAGTTCCATGGAACATTATGAAGATTCTATTGTATACATGATGTAAAAGAACAAAAATATGCATCATGTACAATAAAAAAAAATTAAATCGCATTGGAAATACATAGAACACATAATTGGAAATATATTTGTGGCAACTCGCAGTGCTTGAATGGCCCGCGAGACTGCCTCTGGGAGCTTCACGCACGGGCGACCAGCCGTGATGACATAACAGCTCATCTTGTTCACATTCCCACAGCCAAAGTAAGTGGAGTTTTGTATTTATTTTTACATAGACATGTTCAGGGAAGGGAATTTATCATTTTACAAACAAAAAGATTTTTTTGAGAACACATGATTTCATGTGCACAGGGGGAATGTCACAATAAACTCAGTGCATCACAGTGGTTAAGGACTGCGATAACATTATCGCGAAACCAGTGTTAAATGTCAAAAAGACAAATGAATCTCTACACCCACAACAAAAGAGAAATAGGTAATGATAACCTTAAGGTGGTGATTTCGGGGCTTTACGACCCCAAAATCAAATACAACAAATACACATCCAGCAAAAAATTTACCTTTTTTTTCATGGGTTGGCTCATGCCACATCATTCCAAACCAATTTTACAAATATTCAAGCACTCATTATTTTCTTTTCAACACAATAATATAATGCAACACACTGGGATATGTTTTGTAAACACTTTCACTCTACTGGTTTTCCTTTATACCTTATGTCAACAACCTGTAGAGCCATATGTAAGCATATTTCCAAAATACTCTATAGAACATACCTCATATTCTTGTCCTGTATATTGGGATCAGCTCCCTTCTCCATCATCATCTGTGTGACCTTGACCATGTCATCACGTGTTTGCTGATCTTCATAATTCTGGGAAACTAGAGTGTGAAGAGGTGTCCTGCCATCACCAGGAGTTGCCACATTCACTGAACACCCATGATTCATCAAGAAAGAGGCAGAATATTCATCCCCTGAAACACAAACACAGAATTATGACATAAAATACATTAAAATATAAATGACAGTAATTCTCATTTTTAATTAAGATGCAAATTCAGCAATATGTCTAACAAGTACTAGTGATAAGTATAATGCACATGCAACAAATATATAATACTAATTCAAAAATCAGCATGGAAATAGTTTCTCACCCACCAGTAAACTACTGTACTCAGTTACACCTAGAGGACAGATATAAACAATCTCACAACAGTGAGATCGGCGCCTCACAAGCCCAACTAACAAAGCTTAGCTCAAGTCACTAAGTAGGAACAAAGCAGTTGGCCCAGATGGAGTTTCACCTTGAGTTCTAAGGAAATGCTCAAATGAGCTCAGTATTCCACTTCAATTGATTTTTCAGTCATCCATGTGTAAAGTCATCCATGTGTGAAAGGAGTCCTGGCAGAAAATGTATATGGAAAAAGGCCAACATAGTTCCACTCTACAAAAGTGACAGCAGGGAAGACCTTCTTAATTGTAGTCCTGAATCACTGACAAGTACAGTGCAACCTCGATTCGGTGAACCTCCGGCTAGGTCGCACACTTTTCAGGCCAGATTTACTCACCCTTTTCAACGAACTCTGGTTCGCCAAAGCAGGGGACGTGCGGATTTGCTTACGATGTTGGGACAGAGTTCACAGACTAGTGGAAAACATTCCCACCACCTGTCTATCACAAGTTACAATTAATAATGCTTTCATATGACAAGTTGTATCACACAAGTAGACCAAACTAACCAAACACCAGCCAGAGTGGTTCACACAACAAGTGACCGACTGAGGTTTCCATAATTTTCGTTCAGTGATTTATCTTTGTACATTAATTTAAAGGCTGAAGTGTGAGAAGCTAGCTACATGTGGTGAAATCTCCTTATAGACATTTTCTGTGATGAAACAACATAAGTGAAGGTGGACAGATATAGGGAATACTGTACCGTTAACCTCACTTGGTTTTCCTTCATCTGTGTTGTCATACTTCAGTGAAATTTGAAATTTTGAAATTTTCAGATTAATAAATAATTTCTAAAGCAGGTGTTTTAATTGTTTTTATTATCCTAATTATATTTCTAAACTAAATATAAATAAAAAACCAGCATGAATGTAATGAAACGCCATTTTCTGGGTGAGCCGGCTCCCTAGAATTATCCGGGCTGATATGAATGCATTAGACCATAGCATCAGTCAAGTGTATGGAGTCCTAGTCCTACCGAGGACTACGAGCCAGAACCTGGCCCTCTCAGAGAGGCACAAGGAGCAATAGCCTATAGAAACCCTGTGTGGTTGGAAGCATTCAATGTCTGCCATCAACCAGGTCAGGCACCCAGAAAGGTAGGCACCCCAAAACAAACCCCTATTCTGGTAAAAATATTGCTACTGAAAGTCGAACTAGTGGACAGAACTCCCCAAACAAAAACAAGCACACGAGCATGACGTCACCTCGTTACCGCGCCGTCGTCTGCGCAAACCCCCCTCCCTGGGAGGGAGCCACAGACTAACGGCAGCTATCCACCCTGCAGTTCTGAGGCTGGATGTCAAAAATTGCGACAAGAAAACCGCCGACCGGAGGGAGGGAGGGAGAGAGAGAGGGAGGGAGGGAGGGAGGGAGGGAGAGTTGCCGGAGAGCCTCCGGGTCTCGCCCAGAAAATGGCGTTTCGTTACATTTAACACTGGTTTTCTGGGGGGAGCCCTGTCGGCTCCCTGGAGGTACATATCTGAAGACAAAACAAGAGGGATTTACCCGGGAGGCGATTGGCCCTTGCTCCTCAATGCGAAGTCTAGACAACTGGCTGCAACCGCAACCCCAATGCAACACAGGCCCGACTAGGCCCACGAACGCTGACAAGGTAGCGAAATGACCAGGACCCTATTCGACCACCAAAAACCCCATGTCTGAATGTCAGTTCAAGACATGTTACCAAAGACAGCAGCCAGTACAGCAAACTTACAAACGTCGTGAACACGAGCACAGACTGCAGGCTGGCTAGACTGAATGACCCTGCGGACGACTTGGGAGACCCAAACCCTGGAACAGGGGAAGAAGGGAATCCAACCTGAAGCGCATCTCCGACCACCAAAGCCGTGGCGTGCAGGTAACAACGGAGAGCCGCAACCGGACAACACATTATGCACCCCCGGTCTGACCAACCAAGCATCAATAACCAAAAGAACCCCTCCAGAGAGCAGCAGCCTCATTCTTCGCCAGAAAAGAAGGAGACGGCTGCAAACAAACCTACCACCAGGATCATAAGAGCAGAAACCCCTGCGCCAGAGGAATGCACAATCCTGAACGGAAGGGGCCACCACAAACTGAGAAGAGAGAAAAAGAGAGCACCTGGTCCAACGACCAGGATGGCTCAGGCGGTCCATGAGCAGGCCACAAGTGAAACAACGTACACGAGACAGCTTGCAGAGCGGCGCAAAAGTAACATCAACAACTAATACCCGATACCCAACTAATTTGCCCGAAATGCTATGCGTATTAGTGGCTTTAGGTATTGTATGTACTGTACTAGTTCTCTCTATAAATCCAACATTATGTTTGTAAATCAACTACTGTATGTATGTACTTTTCCTGAATAAAAATTTATTATTTATTATTATAATACAAGCTGCACCAGCTCCGCCAGCCCCGCGTGATACGAGAAGACAATATGTGGCATAAGATAACTGCCCTGGAACAACCACGAAAGAAAGGACAAAACAATCCTATCAGAGACAGAAGTAAACCTAAGAAGAGACAAGAAATAACGGAAGGACCGCCAGGAAACTTCATACATACTGCTGCCGAGACGAAGCCTGCAGTTGGGGCACCATCAATGAAGCCCCTCTGTGCACCATAAAAGTTGTGATAGACCCATGTCAGAAAGACCAGACACGAAGACTTGAGAAGATCGAACCAGTCACATAACTGACTGACCTGATCTGCTGAAAGAGGGAGCTGTGGGAAGACCCCCGGATTCGGACACCGAGCAAGCAGGGCCTGAAACCAAAGCGGGGCCGGCCACCGAGAGGCCAAAAGGACAATTCTTCCTTGGTAAGTCTCCAAGCAAGCTAGGAACTGGAGCTACAGCAGAACCGGGGAGAAGAGGCACAGGTAATCCCACCTCGACCAGTCCTGCCGGTTGACCAGGCATCGACCCTGACAACCCCGTAGTCGGGGAAGGGTGCCACATGTATCGGGAGACACTTCGACCACACCAACGTAAAAAGGCCTACCTCTGGGAGCCGGTATGTTCACCAGAGACAACTGAAAGTCAGCATCGACCGTCCAGTGCGTGGACAGGGGAAATGAACCGAGACAGTCCATCCGCCAGGACGTTGCACATCCCCTGGATATGAACTGCTAGGAGAACCAAACCGAGAATTCAGCAGATGAATCACCCGAAGCGACCAGCCCCAAAGAGCCAAGGACAGCATCGAACCCCTGCAGCTCAGGCAATGAACCACCGGGAACAGTTTGACTGGAGCCTGATTGTCGATTCGTGAGCGACTTTAGTCCCAAGCGTCATCCTTTAACCCTCCAAAGCGTCATCCACACCTCCGCCAACTCTTGCACCGTGCTGTGAGCCCCCACCGCCCATGGCTAGCCTGGTAAGCACTAGTCACAAAGCCCCAGCCAAGAGACTTGGCTGAACGTCCATGAACACATCGAACGAGGGTTCAGGTAGGTGCCAAGGCACAGAACTCCGAAAAACCCGAGGGTAGGAAGCCGGCGATGCAGCAACCGACGCAAAGCCCCCAGAGGCCAAACCCACTGATCGCAAGAGAGGCGGAAGGAACATTACCGTAGAAACCAGTACAGCCGACGAAGCCAAACCCGACCCATCGGGTTTAGCTTCCCAAACCCGCTGGTTTTTGGTCCTCATCCTAAGCCTTTACGAGATTTTAAAATGCAATAAAATAATATAAATGTTTCTGTAATTGTATTCCATCTTAGAATATTGTGATCACATGATGGGATGAGCTTTTCTCCTACTTGAATTTGATCGATCATGCCCTCTTCTGATGTTAGCACAAGGTCCAGAATGCTGTTACCTCGAGTGGGCTCTACCACATGTTGTATGATAGTCCTGAGCCAGGTCTAGAAATTAATCTCCTGCTTGTGATGTTAGATTTACCCAATCTATTGTCTCGTGGTTAAAATTGCCCATCAGTGTATAAGTGTTTGCATTTGTGATGCAGCATTGATCACATTATGCAGATCAATAACTTCCTCTGCTGTTGCTGTGTCAGCCCTGTAGCAAACTCCCACTGTCAGTATGTTACCATCTTGCACTAGTATATTGCATAATACAGACCCTGAGGATCACATGGTGTTCAGTTCCTGATTGGTGGTTGCATTCAGGTCTTCTTTCACATAAAGCAGAACACCACCTGCTCTTTTTGTTCATCATTGTTCATGAAGATCAGGTCTAATGTGTTTTCGTGCCTAGTTTGTTCAGTAATCTGTTGGTTGAGCGAGAATTATCATAAATATTAATTTATATTTGAGAATATTCCTATTTTGAATGAAAAGCATGTTAAAATATATGAATGCATCTTTGGGACGCCTCAGAACTTGGTCTGGGGATGTGTTGCTTTGTGAATCGTTTGCAGAGTTGTTTGGTAGTTTTGAGGCTTTGTTTTCTGTGAAACTTCCAGTTGCCTGTGAAGCTTTGTTAACTTTCTGGATGCTTTCCCGGTGGGGTGGCGAATTGTCATTTGTTCCCTGCACCTGTGAGGGGGGGGGGCCAAGTTCTAACTCTGTACCCTGGTAAGCCAAACAGAATGTCTGTAACTGATGTAACCCATTAACATGCAGCAATCTTTGCAAGATAGCTTCAGAGAGCCACCAGGGGGTGGTTTCCCCAAGAAAATAAATAAAAAGTAACACAAATTACACAAGTTGCTTCTTGTTTTGTTTTAAAACACAAAAAGTAAGATGTGAGAAAATGACCTCTTCTAACAGCCCTGTGCAGTAGAGAAGCACCAGTAGGGTCGGTTGTGGTGACAGATGCTCCATGCTTGAGCAGGGTGTCAGCGATGCTGTGCTGGCGACCAACCAGAGCCAAGTCTAAAGCCATGTCTCCAGCTTCATCTGCCTCGTCTAATACTGCAGGCAACTGGAAAATGGGCAAGACATTGGTATTATGCTCATTGGTGGTAAATAGTAGTGTTATCACTGTAAGGGCAAGAGCTTGTAAACCGTACTCGAGAGTACAGACTTACAAAACCCGTCCTTACTTTCTTATATGTACTGTAATAGCAGGAAATATATGTATCGTATGTGCTAGTGAAATAGAAATAAAGTATTCTTAGTCTAAGTTGGACAATATCACTCTTGGGGTTAAAACTTCACATATGGGTTTTAGTTACACATTATTGCTATTATTATGCAATTATTGCACAGTATTAGAATTACACACACAGTTTGCTAAATTATATCTTGCAGTAAACTCAAATTACACTAAAATGTAAATGTGGATTACATTGTACCCTTAAATTTACTTTAATGTACCTGTACCTACTTTTTTTCTGCCAAATTTCTAATACAATTTTTTTTTTCTAGCAATGCGTTTTTGTACCCTCTTGCGATGTATTTTTGTACTTACAAAAGTTACTGTACTTGCCTGTAATTTTTTTTTTAATTTTGCTAGAAATTACCTTCTGCCCGAGACGCTATGTGTGCTAGTGGCTTTACAAGAATGTAAAACTTCAAGTCTCTGTAGTCTTATAAACCCAATATACCTTCTTGTATATAAATAAATAAATTAAATAAATAAAAGTTAACAAATCAAGATTCTTTTACACTGTTTATTTCTGGGAATACACAATTACGTTACAAGATTACTGGGATTGAGCTTGATCTTTTCAGCACACATTTGGGAAGACTTTAATACACCAATCTGGCCTAAGATCATTACTCTACTCTATATAATATAGGGATTCCAGTGCGAGTATTAACAGTACATTGACTTTATAGTTGAACACTTTACTAACATTGACCATGATTGAGGGAGCACAGAACATGTACTCACCTAGTTGTGAGTACTAGTTGTGGGGGTTGAGCTCTGGCTCTTTAGTCTCGCCTCTCAACTGTCGATCAACTGATGTACAGGTTCCTGAGCCTATTGGGCTTTATCATATTTACACTTGAAACTGTGTATGGAGTCTGCCTCCACCACATCACTTCCTAATGCACTCCATTTATCAACTACTCTGACACTAAAAAAGCTCTAATATCTCTGTGGCTCATTTGGGCATTCATTTTCTAGATATGTCACCTAGTGCATGTGCCCCTTATGTTAAATAGCCTGTCTTTATCTACCCTATCAATTCCTTTGAATGTCTTGTAAGTGGTGATCATGTCTCCCCTTACTCTTCCGTCTTCCAGCGACGTGAGGTTTAATTCCCGTAGTCTCTCGTAGCTCATACCTCTCAGTTCGGGTACTAGTCTGGTGGCAAACCTTTGAACCTTTTCCAGTTTAGTCTTATGCTTGACTCGATATGGACTCCATGCTGGAGCTGCATACTCCAGGATTGGTCTGACATATGTGGTATACAAAGTTCTGAATGATTCCTTTTTTCTAATTCTAATCTAAGAATGATTCCAAGTTTCTACAGGCCATTCTTATGTTGGCCAACCTGGCATATGCCGCTGATATCACACCAAACCTGTCTCCTGAAGCCCATATCAAAAGAATAACATCTGCAGCGTATGCGAGGCTGACTAACATCAGAACTGCCTTCAGGAACCTGTGTAAAGAATCATTCAGAACCTTATATACCACATATGCAAGACCAATCATGGAGTATGCGGCCCCAGCATGGAGCCCGTACCTTGTCAAGCACAAGACGAAACTTGAAAAAGTTCAGAGGTATGCCACTAGGCTAGTCCCAGAACTAAAAGGCATGAGTTACGAGGAAAGACTGCGGGAAATGCACCTCACGACACTGGAAGACAGAAGAGTAAGTGGAGACATGATTACTACCTACAAAATTCTCAAAGGAATTAAGAACATAAGAACAAAGGCAACTGCAGAAGGCCTATTGGCCCATACGAGGCAGCTCCTTTTTATAACCACCCAATCCCACTCATATACTTGTCCAACCCGCGCTTGAAACAATCGAGGGACCCCACCTCCAGCACGTTACGCGGTAATTGGTTCCACAAATCAACAACCCTGTTACTGAACCAGTATTTACCCAAGTCTTTCCTAAATCTAAACTTATCCAATTTATACCCATTGTTTCGTGTTCTGTCTTGTGTTGATACTTTTAATACCCTATTAATATCCCCTTTGTTATGTCCATACACCCACTTGTAAACCTCTATCATGTAAGAACATAAGAACATAAGAACAAAGGTAACTGCAGAAGGCCTATTGGCCCATACGAGGCAGCTCCTATTCTATAACCACCCAATCCCACTCATATACTTGTCCAACCCGTGCTTGAAACAATCGAGGGACCCCACCTCCACAATGTTACGCGGCAATTGGTTCCACAAATCAACAACCCTGTTACTGAACCAGTATTTACCCAAGTCTTTCCTAAATCTAAACTTATCCAATTTATATCCATTGTTTCGTGTTCTGTCCTGTGTTGATACTTTTAATACCCTATTAATATCCCCCCGGTTATGTCCATTCATCCATTTGTAAACCTCTATCATGTCACCCCTAACTCTTCGCCTTTCCAGTGAATGCAACTTAAGCTTTGTTAATCTTTCTTCATATGAAAGATTTCTAATTTGGGGAATTAACTTAGTCATCCTACGCTGGACACGTTCAAGTGAATTTATATCCATTCTATAATATGGCGACCAAAACTGAACTGCATAATCTAAATGGGGCCTAACTAGAGCAAGATATAGCTTGAGAACCACACCAGGTGTCTTGTTACTAACGCTGCGATTAATAAATCCAAGTGTCCGATTTGCCTTATTACGAACATTTATGCATTGATCCTTTTGTTTTAAATTCTTACTAATCATAACTCCCAGATCCCTTTCGCAATCTCAACACCATCCAGCTCGTATCTTGTAACTCTATCATCATTACCTAACCTCAGAACTTTACATTTATCAGCATTAAACTGCATCTGCCAATCCTTTGACCATTTCAAAACCCTATCTAGATCAACTTGAAGTGATAGTGAGTCCTCCTCCGAATTAATTTCCCTACCGATTTTCGTATCATCGGCAAATTTGCAAATGTTGCTACTCAAACCTGAATCTAAATCATTTATATATATTATAAACAACAGAGGTCCCAGGACAGAGCCTTGAGGCACTCCACTTACAACATTTTCCCACTCTGACTTGATTCCATTTATACTAACTCTTTGTTTCCTTTGGTATAGCCATGCCCTAATCCAGCTTAATATAGCACCCCCAATACCATGAGACTATCTTTTTAATCAGTCCTTCATGTGGCACTGTATCAAAAGCTTTGCTAAAGTCAAGGTACACAACATCACAATCCTTACCACTATCAACTGCCTCAACTATGCTAGAATAAAAAGATAACAAATTTGTTAAACATGAACGGCCATTTACAAAACCATGCTGCGACTTAATTATTAATTTATGTTTTTCAAGATGAAGACGAATTTTATTTGCTATTATAGATTCGAGTAACTTTCCCACAATAGACGTTAGGCTAATTGGTCGATAGTTAGACGCAAGTGATCTATCTCCTTTCTTAAAAACTGGTATCACATTAGCAACTTTCCAAAACTCTGGCACTCTGCCTGACTCTATTGATTTATTAAATATGGTTGACAGTGGGTCACAAAGCTCCTCTTTGCATTCTTTAAGCACCCTGGCAAACACTTCATCCAGCCCTGAGGATTTGTTTGGTTTGAGTTTTACTATTTGTTTAAGAACATCCTCCCTGGTAACTGCTAAACTCGTCAACCTGTCCTCGTCCCCACCCACATAGACTTGTTCGGCTGAAGGCATATTGTTAAGTTCCTCTTTAGTAAATACAGATACAAAATATTTATTAAAAATACTACTCATCTCTTCATCACTATCTGTTATTTGACCTGTCTCAGTTTTTAATGGACCTATCCTTTCCCTAGTCTTAGTACGATATAACTGAAAAAAAACCCTTTAGGATTTGTCTTTGCTTGCCCTGCTTTGCGAACTTCATAGTTTCTTTTTGCTTTCCTTATCTCTTTTTTAACAATTCTAACCAGTTGTACGAATTCCTGTTCTAAAGTGACCTCCCCATTTTTAATCCTTTTGTACCAAGCTCTTTTTACCTATAAGGTTCTTCAAATTCATTGTTATCCACTTTGGGTCATTAGTATTCGATCTATTCAATTTGTATGGTATACTACGTTCCTGTGCTTTGTTTAGAATATTCTTAAATAAGTTATATATTGAATCCACATCGAAATCCCCATTTAAGTCACCTATCGCTGGGTTCATGTCTCGCTCCAAGACCGGCCCACTCCTCATACCCAAGACTTTCCAATCAATTTGACCCAAAAAATTTCTTAGGCTATTAAAATCAGCTTTTCGAAAATCTGGCACTTTAACAGAATTTTCTCCTACAGGTCTATTCCATTCTATGCTAAATCTGATTTCTTTGTGATCACTGTGCCCTAGCTCACTCCCTATTTCGATGTCATTAATTTGTGTTTCCCTGTTAGTTAACACTAAATCTAAAATATTATTTTCCCGTGTTGGTTCCTTAATGTGTTGCGTAAGAAAGCAATCGTCAATTAATTCTAGAAAATCTTCTGCTTCACTATTCCCTGTTTTGTTCAACCAGTTTATTCCACTAAAATTAAAGTCACCCATGACATAAATACTGTTAGATCTAGATGCTCTAGATATTTCATCCCACAGATGCTTTGCTTCCATTCTGTCTAAATTTGGTGGCCTATATATAACTCCTATTATAATAGTATTAGCTTTTTCGTTTAATTCTATCCAAATAGTTTGTGTGTGTGGCTCAGTTTTGATTCCCTCTTTGAGACTACATTTCAAATTGTCCCTAACATATATGGCTACTCCACCTCCTCGTCTAATATATATATCTGTGTGAAATAGTTTAAATCCTTTTATTTGATATTCAGCTAATAGTTCTCTATTATCTACATTCATCCA